TGCGTATAGAAATAGATATATATATATATATATATATATATATATATATATATTGTTGCTTTTTTTTTCGTACAGACACAATTTCTCATTCTTACTATACCTCCTTCTTGTGTAGTACCCACGATGGGAGCACTTGCTGGCCCGCTGGCTATGCTGTTGAAGGCTCTGATTGAAATGTCATATTTCGTAAATTTTCTTAAACCAGTTAGCTGCACCTTTGTCGTCGCCCAACCATTTACGGTTAAACTTTTACTTTGATTGACACCCGAAGTCGATGACGAATGTTCTGACCACGTCACTATGTATCCTAGCAAATCTCCGTTGCAAGACTCTTTTGGAGGTGACTAAAAAATGAAAAGTACGTAAATATTATACTTTTAATTTTTTCGATTTTTTTTTATAGCACTGAGACATGATTCAGCTTGATAGAATATTAATGTTTATGTTTAATAAAAGTATTCTTAAGTTATCTCTGAATTGGCATTACTTACTTGCCAACTGACCATGAGCTCTCCAGGTCCGGCGGATTGCACCTTGATGTTTTGCGGTGGTTCGGTAGGTGCTATTACAGATAGCAATGTTATACAATACATCAAGGTTTCAGTCATACGATCGTATTGTCATATGAAGCATTTACCTTCCTCCTGAGTCTTTGCTACGACAGGTTCCGTAGGTCCGCTCGCGTCGATAGAGTTTATGGCGAATATTCTGAAGGTATAGGTGACAGCCGGATGAAGACCACCGACCAAAGCAACCTCTTGGTCATCGCCGGTGGTTTCGAAAGGAGATAAGCCTAGAATTGATATGAGTTATGGAAAGAGACGAAGAGCCGCGATATCGATCGGGGTGGACGAACCATTTTGAGTTGGATGTATAGAATTACCGCTACTCGAGCTTCCTGGAGTGTACGTGACATTGTGCGTTTTAACGGGATTCCAATCATCGGTCATACCGTGGCTTAGCGAGCGGTATTGTATCACGTAATTTCTTATAGGACTGTTTCCATCGAAGGCTCGCTTCCATAATAACCGTATTGATCGAGAACCGATCTCTATTACTTCAAGTCCGGCTGGAGGATCTGGCCTCTCTGTAAAACACAAACAAAGTTTCAAGTGTCTTTGTTACTTTACACACCAATTGAATATTATTAATAAAAAATAATTTCATACAAAATTAAAAAATTTAATGATAGAAACGTGTACTTTACCTTGGACTGCTAAATAAATCAAATGTTCGCTTCTTCCATAAGCGTTATCAGCGGTACATCTGTAAACTCCGGAATCTTGCCGATCACTATTTGCGACAGATAATTGGGACTTCAAGCCGTTATCAGTCTTTATTTGACCGATACTTAGTCTGTGATTGTTCATATCCAATCGATCACTATTGTGCATCCATTGCACCTCTATAGGATTATCACCAATCACAGTGCAATCAATAGTTACGGATTCTCCACGGCGAATTGTTACATTTTTACTCTGAAATTCGAATCTCGCCGGTTCTATAAAGATACAAATTATTATTACAAATTTTAATTTGCTGCTTATTTAGCATGCTTATAGTAATATATTTCCAAATATCATATAATTGAAACAAGATTACTGGATAAAAATAAATCGATCGGTGTTTAGAGATTTTAAGAAAAGAAATAATAAAAAAAATAATAAAATATTATTTTTATTTAATAACAAAAATAATATTTATTATTTTTTTATATTTCTTTTTATATTCTACAATTATATAATTATATAATTTTTTTAAATTACATAATTTTATTTCTAACCATATTTTTAAATTTATATTTAAAAAAAATATATAAATCCATAAAATATCGAATTGATATTTATTGGATTTTTTGCAATGTATTCAGATTTTTAGATTTTGTATTATTCTTCATCGTTTATTAGTCTATAATTTGAACATGAATCGTATTCTTACCATGCACCGACACATATATCACTTTGCTTAATCCGGATCCGATGCCATTGTTAGCCCTACATAGATAGTAACCCTCATCCTGCGGACCGGCGGAAGCCGTCCACAAAGACCCATTAGGCAATATCGTGAGTCTACCATCCGAACCATCGACTAGCGGCTGATAGTCGTTGGACGTTCTGCCTCTGGCACGTAGCCACGTAATACGCGGCGGTGGAAAACCTTTGGCTTCGCAATGGACATTTAACGGATTGCCCAAAAGAGTCGCCACGTCTAACGGTTCGAATATCCATTGAGGAGGTACTTTTACCAAAAGTTCGGCCGTATGGTTCACCTTTGCGGCACTATTCGTGGCTACGCAAGTGTATTTGCCGCTGTGCCGCGACGACAGTTCCTTGAAGACGAGGAGGCTAAAAAACTCAGCTCCTCGCTCTTCGATCTATTCGGTAAAAATACGATCATAACAGGAATGATTATATGGAATGTATAATATATTGCGCTATTTTTATTATGCTAATGAGATAGAAAAGATACATAATCTCCGAATCAGTAACACAAAAATTCGAGATATGAAAAATATTCTTTCCTGTATATTATAAAATCTCTGTTTTTTCAGATACTGTTTTTTAAATTTTATTTTACTGAATTTCCATTTGTTTGAAGAACATTATTCACAAAGATTGAATGTCTTTCACAAGAATTTTATTTCTAAAAAAAATACGTATTTTTGTTTTTAAGAGATGAAACTTTCGAAGAAAAATAGGTACGAAAAGATTAAAAATTAGTTTTTATAGATAAAATATGTGCATAGTTCTAAAATGAAGTTGCACTTTGCATTACTTTTTTATCTTTCATCGTCGGAGACAGAAAATAGAGAGAAAAAAGAAATTAAAGAGTGTAGAGAAAAAATATCGAACATTCTTCGTATAGAATTGAACTTCATAAAGTGAGATAATGCTTACGCGAAGGGAAGAAGGTAGTGGCTCGCCATCTTTCAACCAAGAAATGTAAATTGGAAGATCGCCCGACGTCACGCTACAAGTCACTTGAGCACGACTTCCTTCTTGTGAATTTGCGGGAAAGCTGAAGGGACTCATTACTGGAGGACCTGTAAAATACGCACAAACGGAAGAGTTACGTTATGCTATATTATACTATTACATCCAAACTCTGAGATTCCTTTTTGTTTTGGGAGATATGGCAAAGTTAAGTAGGGCATGAAAAGACGTCATAGATACCCTCTTGCAGGTTAGTATTCTGAAACGCGTGCTACGATTCGAACACAAATCTTCAGTCAATGTCTTAAAAGGACATTTTCCGTAAAACCCCTTTATGAATACACTCATCGATCTTTTATTTTTAATTTTTTAATTTTAAATAAAGGAACTTAATTATTAGAAGTAAATTTTATGTGATTTTAAATAATGGAGAATTGAAAGAGAAATTTCTTTAAATAAAAAAAATTATTTATGTATTGTATAAATTTTGCAAATAATTTTTTTGAAAGCATAATAATAATAATAATAATGATAACGTAATTTTGAAGTGAATGCATATATACGCGTGGATGTATGTTACATTCGAAAAGGATATCAATTAGAATTTTGTTGAGAAAATGTTCTAATCTTTAACTTTTGGTTGGATATTACAATTTCATTAAGTATATAATAAAAAAATCTATTAAACATTAATCTAATTTCTACACTAAAAAATGTATTAAGTGTACAACTTTGCTTCCGCCGTTTTTTTCCGAAATTCGAGACTTTATTGTAAAAAACTGGTTATACATTTATGATTCAAAGTATTGTCCATCACTGGCCACTACTTTCTCCCATCTTTCTTCGGATACGAATCCCGCGTCGAAAAAACTGGTCATCTTTTGAGGTTATCCACGAATCGATCCAATTTTTTACTTCTTCCTAAGAGCGGAAGTGCTGATCAGCCAGGCCGTGTGCCATTGATCGAAACAAGTGATAGTCAGAGGAAGCAACGTCTGGAGAATACGGCGGGTGGGGTAGGACTTCCCATTTCAACGTTTCCAATATGTCTTGACCACTTTCGCAACATGGTGTCGAGCATTGTCATGCTGCAAAATCACTTTATCGTGTCTCGTTGTATTGCGGCCGTTTGTCTTTTAATGCTCGGCTCAAATGCATCAATTGCGTTCGATACCGACCGCCTGTGATTGTTTCAGTCGGTTTTAACAGTTCATAATACACTACGCCGAGCTGGTCCTACCAAATACAGAGCATGACCTTGGACGTCAAAATCACCGTTCTTGAAGCGTTGAAACCACTCACGACACGTTCTTTCACTAATAGCGGCCTCACCATAAGTATTTGAGAGCATTCAATGAGCCGCAGATTTCTTCATATTGAAGCAAAAAATTAAAACCTCCTGCAAATGACGAGAATTTGGCTCGTAAACTGACATTTTCAATCGAGAATAACTTTATGATGCAGACACAAATCGACTAATGTTTCTATGGGGTTATGTTGACAAATGCCCAAGTTTATTGTATGACGTCTATGATCTATTTATTTCGACCACCACTTACCGCTAAAGCCATCTATAGGAAAACGGTGGAAGCAAAGTTGTACATCTATATTAAATTTTAATAAATATTTATTTAAATGGTACCAACTAAATATTTAGTAACACATATTTATTTGATATAAAAATTATTAATTTGATTTAATTATTATTTCTTTTTATTAAGTAAATATATAATTATTGTAAGTAAATGTTTCGTTAGCACTATTTAAAAAAATACGTATTAAGATATTTAGTAAATTTTTTTTCAGTGTATTTGTTATGCTATTACTATTCTTACTTTCACTTACTATTAACAGTTAGTAATATATCTCTGTTGGCGGTCTCCCCAGAACTTGCTCGAACTATACATGTGTAAGTCCCGGCATCATTCGGATCTACCGTGAGGATTGTAAGATGACCCTCGCTGTCGACCCGCTGCCTGATGTCAAAGGGCAATTCGGCACCACCTCGGGTCCATCCGACCGATGTGATCGGATATCCTGAGTAAGGACACGCTATTGTAATGTCGACACCGGCGATGGCGCGAACTGGGCCGATCGATCGGATGTACGGTGGTCCTAAAAGTAGTTTCTTATTATAAGGTTGTCCCGATTTAAACTCTCTTCCACAATCTAAATCAATTGTAGCGCTTCGAGACTTTCATTCCATTTAAAGTTTCTATGCTATACAGTATTGTTTTCTTCGATAGTTGTTGCTGTTTAATTCTGGATATAACTTTAATAAATCTGTTTAGCACACTTGCGATTATATATGCGATATTGTGGAAATACATATTTAGCTGAGTTCATTCGTAAGAAGTGTCTTATTTAAAAATTATTTCACATTCTAATATGTGATTATATTTATGTGTCATATGAAATTATTATCTGCATGTCGTACCGTAAATATTCAATCTAGCTTTATGTTCGACGGTCGCTAGAGTGTTGGACGCTACACATGCGTACAAGCCACCATCCTCGGCTCCCGCCGATGAAATGTTTAAGTGACTGATCACGTCACCCGATTGATCCACATATTGGCCTATCGCGTATCTACGCGCATAGTTCCTGATTAGAAGATAGAGCGATATAATGCTGATATATCAGAACATAGGTACGATCTACCTGTGCCCAGTTGCAATCTGGCTTAATGGTTCACCATCGAGTAGCCAGGTAAAGGATGGTGTCGGTGAACCGGTAGCAGAACATCGCAGAGATACCGGTGGGCCTGGTCGTAACGCCTGCTCGATAAATGTGTACTGCAGTTCCGGAACCGTATCTAAAAAAAGTTTTCAAATATCTATTTTTTTAAACAAGAATGAACCAGTTTTTTAAATTTATATATAAGAGGGAAAGCACTATAAACTAGTGATGTAATAATAGATAGAAACGGCCAAATAAAAGTATAGATATTAAAAACGGCGCATGAGATGCGCTCGCTCACCTCCAAGTTTGAGTTCGGCAGTAGCCTGAGCATTTTCCTTGTCGCTCCTCACCAAACATTGATACATCCCTTTGTCCCTGCGACCAACAGAGCCTATTACGAGCACTAAGGGAGCCAACAATCTGATCCTTGTATCCTGCGCGGTCAATACTGGCACACCGTCATGTAGCCACTCAACGCTCTCAACCGGATATCCTTCGACCGTGCAGTTCATCGTAGCGGTCTCGCCGGAATTAATGACCTGCGAATGACGACAAGCGAATCCATTTGAATCTCGCAGTCGGACTAATTCGCGTTTATCTGCACGATTTTTAAGTGTGCAATAAAACTAATGCCTTCGAGAGACTAGTTTTTGTTACATTAATAATGCATATTTTTATATTTGACATTTTATATTAAATGTAATAAATTAATGGCTTAATTATCATTTAATAATTGTTTTATTAATATTATATATTAATAAAATTATATATTATATAAATATTAATTTTATATAATTTGGAGGAAAAAAAAAGAGAGAAAGAAAATTGCTAATTAATCAATAGATGCAATTATCATAAATATAGTTAGCCCAATCGTATTTGTAGTTTAATTCAGTTTTTCATTATATTATAATAAAAATAGAATATCATATGATATGTGAAGTGAATTCTTAATTCGTATTAATTGCTTTCTTAGTATAATATAGGATAAATAACTTTTACTAAACTATATATATCGTGGTACTAGCTCAACAATTTTAAGTATAAAAGTTTCCCTTTTTTATCACATCGTTGATTCTTGAATTAAAAAAAAAACTTTTTGTGTATAACGAATTTTTATCTTCATATTGTTATGCTCTTTTAGTCTGCTAATATAAAACGTGCATTTAAGAAGAAAATTATCTTTCTGCAGAAATCAGACTCGTACTTGCACACGCGGCTGAATCCGAGCATTTAGCTTTGATGTGACTGACAAGTGCGTCTCCGCTCGTTGCTCGCCAAGCTGATTGCTGGCCCGACAAACATATCTTCCTGCATCCTGTGCATCTACGCGACGAATTTGCATCAAATCGCCCCAAAGCTGAATACGGCCGAACGATTCAACCGGTATCGAATGGCCTGCAATAAGATATTTGAGTGTATCTGTCTTATAATCATGTTGCAGAGTTATTTGCATGATACGTTTAGCGTTAGATTCTCGTTGATAATAGACCGTACACACAAGAGAAAAAGAGAAATTTTCAACTTTTTTGATAAAATAAATAAATCTCTTTTTCTTTTACAATTACATTTGATAATATCTTTCAAGATTAAATAGTATGCCTATTAAACACTTTTTTTTGTTCTTCTTAATGATATTCTTAATGATATTGTATAATATTAATTTAAACGTATAAGTATTTGATATCTACCAGATTTGGGAAGTAATGCATTACTTGTAACGTCATTCCATTGTTACTTTTTTTTTTATAACGATAGTTACTTTTTTTATTTGTAACGATAACATTATTACGTTTTTACTGCAATGATAACGAAATTGTTACTTTTATTGTTATTTGAATTATTATTTAATATATTTATTATTTAATATAAAGAAAGAAAAGTTTGTACATATATAGACTAATTTACATTTTTAAGTTTTAGTATTTGTTGTTACAATGATATTGACTATTAAATAATATAATTTTTATATCTTAGTTCAACATTACGAAAAAATAACGAAAAAAGATAACAATACTATTAAGGAATAACATTTTACTTTTTAAAATTTGTAAGGAGTAACGGTATGTGTAGTGTAATGAGCTACTTTTACAAAATGTACGACGTCTGCCTAGCTGGTCTCCACTTAACCAAATCTTTGTTCCATGAGAGAAGTAATTTCCTTAAGAGTTGCAGCATAAAAATCGAAATTTACTTGGAAATGATATGAGAGCATAAATCGAAGATATATTTTGCATAGTTAGATAGCGTAATTTTGCAATTTTAAAGGACTTAGGGATGAATATGACTGTTTGTTCCAAGAGGGAAGTGCCTTAAGGGATGCAATGCAAAAATTGAAACTATGCACAGAAAAAAATGAATTCCTGATTCATATATATTTTTATTCTTGAATGCTATTTATTTTCATTATAAAATATTCTCTTCAATTATAAATGTTCACTGGCATCAATAATAAATAGATTTATGCAAAGTATACTTTATTCTTAAAATTGAATTCTTGTTTCTAAAATCATTATATGATTTTAACAAACTCAAATCGCATTATTTATAAACTATTATTCTTGGATTAAGAATTATAAATTTGAAAATTCGCCGGCAGGCGGCAACAGTGTGTATAAAAGCTCCTCAATAATTTCAAGATGACGGAAGTACATGGGAAGTGTACTGAATGATGATTGACGATGGGATTTTGTGAACTGTTGCATTCGTGGAACACCTTTAAATGTGGTTCAATCTTTAAGGGTGGATGAAATATTCAGCATCGTCAATGTTTCTGTCAGTTATAATTACAAATAGGAATGCGTGAATAGCCGGTCGACTTTGTCACTGCGACGTGACAAAGAGGCGCCTATATACGCGGGCGGATTTACCGCTGCGGATTCGCGGATCTGGTATTCACAGTTAAATGTGTGAGATGAGCAATGAATCCGTCGCGGCGGATCCGCCTGTATATGCAGGCAGCGTTCTCTATCATTGTGATGAAGTTGACCGTCTGCTTGCATCCTTATTTGCAATACAGCTAACAGAGATAGAACGGTTTCAGCATTTCACTTGCTTTTGAACTACATTAGTAGAGGATATAATCTAAGTTTGATTCAGTTTTTCCTTGAGAGCTTATACCCCGTGCACATTAAGAAGTATGTTCTATAAATGTGGCACTTCATTTACAAAACTATCGTCACTTACTACAGCATTAGTTTCTGTCATCTTGATGTTACTAAAAAGCATACTGGGGGTTTGAAATAAGTTGACAAAAGATATCATTAAAGAAAAAATAATGTTAATTATATAAGCATATTTAATGTTGAACGAGTGCAATTTTATTTTTTTATTAAAATAAAATTTTGAACTAAGAATAAAATTTATTTTATTTTACGAATAATTATTGTTAATCAGAAATTGTTTATTCTTGGCGCTATTCTAAATTATTCTTGGATTAAAGCATTTATGCATTTCTTTAAGAATTCATTTTTTTGAGTATGTGAATATGAAAGCGCATAAATAATGCATAAATCCTGTGTATTTGATTTTCCAAATCGGTTGTTATTAACATGTAGAAAGGGGGGAGGACTACCTCAGCACAAAAAAAAATTTTTTTTAGCTAAACGAAATCAGCGCAAAAATTTTTTTGCGAATTTTAAGAGCGCATAAATAATGCATTATAAATTATTCATTAAGATTGATGGTTAAGTAGGAGGGGAAGGGCAGCAAGGCAGACATAAATATACGGTAATGTGTTTTTTTTTTTTTTTTTTTTTTTAAAAAAAAATTCCGCAA